GAGACACTATGAAAGTGTGAGTATATGTGACAGATCCCCTGAGTTCAGTGCCTGTCCTCTGTAGTGCAGGTGTTACCCCAAAGCAAGTGTCATTTCTCCTTTCCCATGCCCAAGACATGTAGAAAATGCGCAATAGGTGCTTGTTGGCCAATTTACTGACCTAGAGTGAAGGGTCATTACACTATAAATGACAAGCTATAAGAAGGCAGGGCCTACACATGTTACCTTGCTTGTTCAGTGAAGTTCACAGCACCACTGAAAGATATTAAAATATTTTTAAGAATTTTAAAAACCTGAATACAACAAGGATGTGTGCCATTACCAGTTCTATCCAACACTGTACTGTAGATACTAGCCAATGCAATAAGGCAAGAAAAATAAATAAATGGTCTAAGGCTGCACTGTCTAACACAGTAGCCACCAGATACTTGTAGCAATTTAAACTTAATTAAAATTAAATATTTAGCTCCTCAGTCTCACTAGCTACATACCAAGGGCTTAATAGATATATGTGGCTAATGACTACCACATTGGATAGTACAGGTCTAGAACATCTCCATCACTGCAGAAAGTTCTATTGGACAATGCTGGTCTGAGGATTAGAAAGGAAAAGGACAAAATTCTCATTTTTTGTACAGGATTATATATATAAAAATCCAAAATATTATTAGAATATAAATTAACACAATTAATACATTATTAAAATTAAAATAATTTAGCAAGGTAACTAAAAGGCCAATTTTATTTCTTTATACCAGGAATAAACCATTAGAAAATAAAATTTGAAAAATTAGTATTTACAAGGGTACCCAAAACACACACACATACACACAAAACAACTACCGCCCCCACCCAAGTACCTAGTAATAAATCTAACAAAAAGATGTTTAAGGACTTTCTGGAGAAATATTTAATCATGTGTGTCAATAATCTCTTGCCTAGTACTTCTCTATTTATCATCTTCATTTTACCCTCAAATTGACTTGCTTTTCCAAATGCAGGGCCTAGACAGCAAGACATAACCAGGATCACAGAAGACCCCAGCAGGATCACCTGACTCCCCCAATACTGCTGGGGTGCTCCTGGCCCCCAACACCCTCGTGCCCAGCAGCCCAGCTCACACCTCACCTCGTTGTATAAATCGCTGAATTCCTCAACCACGTCCTTGGGGATCCTGCGGCCGCGGTTGGTGAGGTAGCAGGCCACGCCATTCTTGGAATAGAGGCTGATACGGCCCACGCTTCGCTCCCCATCAGTAGTCTCTTCCAGGAGGCCATTGGCTTCTGCTAGATGATAGATGGGATTCCCATGGGAGCCATGGATCCAGGTGGCTCCCAGCTCAAAGGTGGCGTGTCCTGATGGTGACAACAACAAGCCCTTAGAGGGACAGGGACTTCAGAGAGGGCCAGAATACTGCCTCATCCTTCTTCCTC